CCCGGGGGCCCCCCGGGGCCCCCCGAAGCCGCGGAAGCAGCAGCAGGGGCCTCCTGCTGCAGCAAACAAGAAGTGGGAATTGTTGATGTCTTTGGACAAGAATGTTTGACCACTTATGTGCCTCTTAGAGGAGACTCTGTTTGCGAAGAGCTGCCGGGGGTGCTGCAGGCCTTTTGGGCCCCCGCGTCGGCCCCCGCTGCTGCTGCTGCTGCTGCTGCTGCTGCTGCTGCTGCTGCTGCTTCGCTGGTCGTTGTGATCACCCAGAAGAGCATTGAGCTGTTCAAAGTGAGCTGCAGCACTTACGGACAGCAGCAGCCGCAAGCTGCACGCGCGTCTGGCCTCACCCCCACTCCCTCCTGCTGCTGTTGCTGCTGCTGCTGCTGCTGCTGCTGCTTAGTTTATGCACAGCGGACGGACTCTGCATGCAGTAAAGAAAGTGGCTCAAGTGTCTCTTTTGGCTTGGGTCTCTTCGCCGCCGCCTCGCCCTAGGGTGTCCGCAGCGCTGCCCAGCAGCAGCAGCAGCAGCAGCAGCACAGAGCAGCAGCAGCAGCAGCAGCAGCAGGCAGCAGCGCTTGCTGCTGCTGCAGCTGCTCCCGTGGTGTTCGTGGTGGCCGTAGGGCAGCGGACGCTGCAGCCATTCCTCCTGGAGCCCCGCACTCTGGCAAGCCCTAAACCCTAAACCCTAGCTAGTCTCCAAACCCTAGACCCTAGCTAGCCTCCAAACCCTAAACCCTAGCTAGCTACCAAACCCTAAACCCTAGCTAGCCTCCAAACCCTAGACCCTAGCTAGCGTCCAAACCCTAAACCCTACCTAATTCAGAGTCCCTCAGTTTTACAAGTACTAAGTCCCAATGCCGTCGCCCTAAACCCTAAATCTTAAACCCTAAACCCTAAGTCCTAAACCCTAAACCCTGAATCCCAGTCCGTGTTGACTGCCTGGATCAGAGGCGAACCCCGCTGCGTGTGCTGCTGCTGCTGCTGCTGCTTCCGCTGCTGCACTTGCTGCTGCTGCTTGCGCTGCTGCCTTTGCTGCTGCTGCTTCCGCCGCTGCACTTGCTGCTGCTGCTGCTGCTGCTGCAGAGCCTGCTGCGTCTGGCGAAGATAGAGTTGAGTCTGCCTCTGTGGCAGCCGCTGCAGCAGCAGCACGTGAGTTTGCTGCTGCTGCACGGCA